GTATCAAAGACGTCTTTGAAAAGACCTTAACCTCCGCTTTGTTCGTGACTCACAAGCTTTCTTCTAACTCGTATATTCATACGGATATTTTTGGAGGAAAAAATCTGTATCCGATGATAAATTTAAGTTACTGGATATGCCGTGTTTTAACCCGAATATCCGAATTTTGAAAAATCCATATTCTACTTTTGAGGTTAACAAGGAAGGCCTTCAAGTGCGACGCTCAGATTTTTGATGAAACTCGGAAAAAAAGAATATGATGGGTTTCTAGGTCGCGCTTTGCAGAAACTACCGAGATTTTTAGTTTGAAAGCTTGGCAAAACAAAAAAAAAATGCTAAAAGAAAAATGTTTTTCCTCGGCCATCTCTCCTCATCTGTCTGTGTACTTTCTCTAACGACAACCATTGAAATTCCGGGTTGCCGTTGAAAAATGCGCCTTCTTCTAGCCTCTCCCATAAAACGACAACCAACTCAATCCGTGGTGTCGTTGACCCGAACTGTCGGAGGCCCTAAAAGTTGTAGCGCCGTAATTTTTCAAGGCAACCGGTCGGGCCTTGAAAAAAACAAGGTCCAGTCCGGTAAGTAAGTGTCTATCAGGCCTGGCTCGCTGGAACCACCTCATAGGCACTATGGAAGAGGAGGACAAACGCCGGAAATATCATGAAAAGCAATGCCCATATTTGTGTCTATAAGGTTGATTACTCTCACTCTAATATTCACCCAGTTTACTCGCACTAAAACCATTTAAAACTCCCTCTAACTATGTAATTGGATATAAAAATTCTATGAAAGCTTAATAAGCTTACAATTAAAATAATAGGTACAAAAATGTTAAAATATTTACAGCCGCCAAACCACTAAAATCAAATTAGTCGTTCCGGAGGCCCGACTAGTCTCTTTGGTCTCCATTCTTGGAGTTTCGAACTGGCTCTTCATTTAATTTTCTATTCATGACCCCATAAAGAAACTGACGTTAGCCGTTTTCTCCATAACGTTGCGCTGTAACGATGTCGCTGGGAATGGGAAAAAAGAGATCTGTAAAAAACAAGGAGATGACAAAAAATTGTTTCTGCTACAGTACCGCAGTAAACCCGAGAGGGAACTCATATCAGTTAGAGAGCTTATAACTGCCGTTTGTTTGAGCGAGACTAGAATTAAGGCTGTTGTTTCGATAAAGATTTCCGTGTAATTGAGAGAGCGCACAAACATTGACTCATTGTGTCACATTCTTTCGTACTTTCGCGATAAAAACAGGCCTCATCGGGTGAGTTTTGGTGAGTAATTGCGTAGGTCGAGGCCGTAAAGACTTGATAAACTTGATCGGTAAATTTTTGGGATTCTTGGGGAAATTTTCATTTTAGAGCGTTCTTGAGACAACCGGAGCTCCTGCGGGCATGTTTTTCAGCCGGCATTTGCATACAAAACTAAATTTTAACGATGACTTTGGCAGTTAGATGCTGCAAATTTAGTTTTCGGGTGGATTGGTGGATTGAATAGTTGCCATAAATTCAAAAAGACATTTTAAAGGTTCAAAAAACATTTTTTTTAAACAAACCCTCATAACTTTGAAAGCGGTATATAAATTCAATTGCGGGGCTTATCAGTGCCGAAAAAAATTTCTATCATAGTACGTAGATTACGGTAGAAAAATCGTAATTCTAATTGACTGCCCGAAGTGGTTGATCACAAGAATCGCAACCCCAAGAAAGAAGCCTCCCTCTTCAAATGGCCCACTCTGTTACCGTAATTTTTTATTGACTACAACATAAGGCACTAAAAAAGAAGAAAAAAAATTACGCTCACTGTCAGCCGCGAATTGTCTGGTCGCGAAGTGTCCATCACTCTTCCAAAAGGGCATCAAAATGACAACAATGCTTTTAATTTTACCCCAACATCTTCTCCCCACCCATTCTTGGAACCCAAACAAGAACAACAACAAGAGTCGGCCAGACAGTTTTTCGAAGAAAACTTTTTGAAACCAGAAATTCAAGATTCACACCCGTTCCTTCCTGACCCCCATTCTTTTCCCTCGTTCGCGGCCGAATGTCGGTCCGATTAGAGGCGCGTGGGACGCTAATGTCTTCAGAGAAGCTTCGAAGCAGATTAAATTTACACAAAAAATATCATCGACAATTCCCTGATGAGCCGATAATCAGGGCTCCCGAAAAATGCGATTCTTGATTCTCATAGGGCAATCAAATTAGAGGGAGATGTAACAGAGAAGAAGGAGATGACATTTTACAGTGTTGCGGTTTGAAAAAAAGGCCCAGAGCATGACAATCCAGCGAAGTTGAAGCTATTTTTCGACCAAGACTTAATCAATATGGCATTTCGACAAAAATAAAAATTTTCTTCAAGACATAACGCTGACTGATATGTATGATGATACGAACGAGATCTACGGACTTCCAGTGATGTCCGGGAGCAGGAAAAAAATTGGTGTACAAGAGAGTGTTTCTCATATATACATGAACGATTAGCGGATTAAGCGGCAAATACGAAGAAATGATATCATAATTTACTACATTTCTTGATGAAATAGGCATTCATGATCTTTGTAAAAACGATGAGGAAGTAGTTTTCCGATGAAATTTTAATGAATTCGGGACGTTCCGGTCAGGGATCAAAAACAAAAAGAGAATTTGGAACTGCATATGCATATTTAACTGACGAATGGAAAGAAAGGCTTCCATGAGAAAATCAACTGCCTCAGATTTTCTTCAAATGTTGCACACACGTTGAGCGTGTTCGAGATATCAATTTCTGCAAAGTTTAGTTCGCCCTTTCAAGACGCAGTCGAGAAATTCAACGACCTCTGCGACTGAGAGAGCAGGCGAAATGCGGAGAGCAGAGAAGCATTTTTAAGCCATGTGTTTGACATTTTTGATTGGAAAGGATGATTTTTTATATAAACATTACCGGATACGGTAGAAATAGGCATGAAAATTTCCATACCAGAAATTGCGAAAAATGTCAAATTTTTACTATATTTGAAATTTTTGATCTAATAATCTCGATTGTTTCTGTAAAGCGCGATTTAGGATTCTTGCATGTAAAGATGGTCACAGAAGTTCTCGACTTTTATTTTTATTGTTGAGTGGAATTTCGGTGCAAAAATGGGTTGACATTGATTTGAAAAATCATTGCACACTTTAATTTTCGTCCTACAGCGATTTCCCAAAATGCTATTACTAGCCCATTAGATAACGATTTTCCTACAGTAATTGTGTTATATATAATGAAATAAAAAATAAAAATTTTGCCTTGTCAACTCTTGTACTGATAAGTACTCAAATCTATTGAATTCAAATAGATCTTCTAACAGGGGAAGTACTCCAAGTGCGACGCTCAGATTTTGATGAATCTTGGCACAAATTTAGAATAATTTTTCCTAAGATATATGCGAGAATCCTAGCTCGCGCTTTGCAGAAACAATCGAGATTTTTAGATCGAAAGTCGGCGAAAATTTAGGACTTTTTTGCTAATTTCGGCACGAAAAGTTTCATGCCCATTTCTACCGTAAAAAATAATTTTTCTACAAAAAATCAAACTTTTCCGCACGAAACTGCCAAAGTTATGGCCAAAAAGCGCTTTTCTCTCTGACCGCTCTCCACGTTTAGCGTGCTCTCTCGGCGGCAAAAATCGTTCGATATCTCGGCGGCGCCCGCAAAGCGCGAGCTAAAACTTTCAGGAATTGATATTGAGTCCATACCCGACGTGTGTGCAAAATTTAAAGAAAATCTGAGCGTCGCACTTGGAGTACTTCCCCTGTAGATTATGGAAGTTTTTTTTCAAAAAATGGTTTCTGAAAATTAAAAAATTTTTACATTCTCCAACAATTTTTCAATTTCGTATAATTCTCAATCCATTTTGATCTTTGCCTTTTTCAGGTGCATGCCGCCCACCGCTCCAAAAGCCAGCCAAACTTTGGCGGGTACGTTCGACCCGGAATTTCGGCAACTTTGCACAGCTTCATGGTAGGTCCATTAATACTCGAGCAGCCGACATTTCCTGAGAACTTTCATTTTTGCGCTTTCATTCTTTGAACTTGCAAAGGTCTCTGCACTACATCACCTTTCTGCTCGCTGATATTTACAAAATTTATGGTTTGATTCTTGCGGAAATAACATTTCCATTGCCATAAATTATTTTGAGTGCACCATATGCTGGTTTGTTTCCAGTTTCTTTCTTGTTTCCGGCGTCATGCGAAAGTCTGAATCTTGGGTGAGTAAGGGCTTTATTAAAGCGCCTTTCTGGAAGCATTTAGAGGCATTTCCAAAGAAATCAAAAAAAAATTTTACCTCTTATTACAACATGTAATCTATAATATACACTTGTATATTACAGACAATTCCACGGCTGCAACGGATATTTTTGAACCTCAAAAAGTCTTGTTTATCTGCAATTTTTCAAAAGTCATTTCTCGATATTCACCGATCTTTCGGGCCGAGAGAGTACGCGAAAGGCGGAGAGCGGTCAGAGAGAAAAACAACTTTTGGCCGTATCTTTGTCAGTTTCACGTTGAAAAAATTGATTTTTTGGGGGAATATTACTCTCTACAGTAGAAATATGAGTTATACTTTTGGGCCAAAATTTTGAAAAAAAGTGTCTTATTTTTTCCAAATTTTCGACCAAAAAAATCTCGGTTGTTTCTGGAAAGTGTAAGCTGGTACATGTCTAGGAGTCTGGTACATGTCTTGGAAAAAATTTATCTAAATTTGTGCCAAGTTTTATCAAAATCTGAGCGTTGCACTTTGAGCACTTCCCTTTGATAAATATAATGCCAATCTTCCCTTCTTCTATGCACAAATTATCGAATTTCTTGCTAATTTCGTCAAAAAAATTTTATAAAAATGCATTTGCTATATTCTAGCTTCGTCTATTGCCCTTTTATTTCCCTATTTCCTAAAATTCATGAAATCCTATCCCCACCATAGCCATTAATATCTCGCCGTTTTCAGTCCGCGAACACCCGGCCGCCGGTGCGCGAGCCGCAGCGAATGGCCATCTCCTCCTCTCGGTCCGCAAATCATCTGGCCATTGGGAAGAAGAAGGTGAGTGCGGTCAGTCACAATGATTAATTACTGCTCGCGCCCTGCAGAAAAACGACTTCATTTCGGCGGGGGGATAAATTGACGGAGAGAGATTATGGCCCACCCATTTGCCGGCCCAGCCTTGGCTTATTTTGGAATTCGGGCTATTGCGGAGCCTGCGAAAGCTTCGAGTATGGGACAATTAGTGGGAAATGGGGTGTTTGTGTGGGAAAAAGATGGGTCGAGAGGGATCGGAAGTGGGTTGGAGGAGAATTTTGAGGTATAAACAGCTCGGATATTTAGGGAGTTTTGTGTTATCCTTGGTTTATGAGAAGCCTTCAGTCTATTCTTCGAATTTTTACTCCGAAAAGGAGTCAAAATTCGGGCGTCGCGACACTTGCGGGCAACCACTTTGAAAAAAAACAATCACACACACTGTATTGGTACTTTTGGAACTGTTGCCCGCAAATGTCGGCTTCCCGCAAGTATTGCCTGCCCGCAAATGTCGGAAAACTTCCAAAATATCGAAGTAATTTTTCCACCTCCACCTTGTTATCCTCAAATGCCGGTTGCCCGCAAATGTCGGCTGCCCGCAAATGTCGGCAAATTTCCAAAATATAATATCATAGTAATTTTTCCACGTCCACCCTGTTACCCTCACAATCAGGTCTCGGTTGCCCGCAAATGTCGGCTGCCCGCAAATCTTCCAGGCTGCCCGCAACTGTCGACCCTGCCCGCAAATGTTCGAGGCTGCCCGCAAATGCCCGTGCTGGCCGCAAATGTCGGCTGCCCGCAAATTGGCTGCCCGCAAAAAATTTGCCCGCAAACTGGTTGCCCGCAAAGTGGTTGCCCGCAAGTGTGCGCCCGCCAAAATTCGCAATTTTTTTGCGAGTTTATCCAGGAAGAATTTTGGTTTAATAAGGCCAAGTGAAAAGGCCAGTACTTGTTTCTACAATGGAGAAAAAAAGTATATTTTGCGGATTAAACTTCAAAGTGCATAAGTGGGTTTGCACATTTACCATAAGGTAAACCAGGGGTTTTTACAGGTTCAGAAACCTTTTTTTCAAACAAACTTCCATAAATTTGAAAGGGGTGGATGAATTCAATTGATTTGTATACCTATCAGTACCACGAACGTGCCAATACAAAATTTCCATCATAAAACGTATATTACGGGAGGAAAACCGTAATTCTCATCGGTATATGTTGGCTGCCTGCAAGGCCGCCAGTGTCGCGACGCACATTGGAGAAAGGTTTTCATTGGCAGATCTTGAACATTGCCGGGCAGGGCCAACGTTGATAGAAGCCGGGCCACAGCCATGGATGTAGCATAAGCCCAGCCGTCTCCGCGGAGCTCCGTCCACCTCACCTTTCTCTCACTAGTTCTGCCAACCTTGATTCCCGAAAATCCCATTCAAAACAACGATAGTATTATTACAACACAGACGATTGAATAATTAATTCCATCTTGACGTTTTATTATTCCATTAGGCGTGTATTATTTATAAACTGGTTCCATCATGCGGATATCTCTTCTTCTTCCTTTATCTTCTCCTCGAGAGCGCGTAGATGATTCCTGACAGTCGGACAAAGTTAGTGTAAATATCGGGTTAATGTTTATGATAGGGGAAGAGCGATTTATTGGAGAGTTCAGCGTTGTTTTTGACTTCACTTCTGCGAGTAAACAGTATGCTTGGTAGGGGGTTTGGAGCTTTAGTTGTTGCAGAAAAGGTTGAAAATAAAATTATGGGTTTTTGGTCGGAGAGAATGGCGTTGCAGTTTCTAGGGTCGACGATACTTTGTGTCGCATCGATTGTATGCTTGGGGGAGGCCAGGAGAAGGCTCAGTTATTAGAAATAATAAGATTGATCGAGTCCTAGGATAACTTATCACCTATTTTATGATATTTTTCATGTATTCACATCAATAATGCCTAGATAAAAGTTATGGATCTTTGTTTTTTGCTGCAAATTGTGGTCTTTTATATGTTACACTAGCTCAAGGTCAAGAAAATTAAGGTTAGTTATAGCTGAACTTACAAAAATTGCTCATATTGTTATGCCTTCGCCAAGTCTCCGCCGAGACTTCGCCAAGAGCCGGCAAGGCTTCCAACGGCTTTGCCAGGCCTTGTAAGCACCTCCTACCTATTTTTTGGGTCTCCACCTGTAATACGCCTCGTGTTGATTGATTTTTACGGAGACCCGAACTATCATCGACCCGAAAAGTCCGTGGAAATACCAGGTACTGTAATGGTACGTAATGCTGACATCTAGATGGCTTGGAGGCAAATTGTTGAAAAAATTTGCTGCTTTCTCCAAAAAGCGCCTGCAAAATTTCGTTGACTTTTCTTTGTCGTCATAAAGAGCTTGAAAAGCAGGTCACTTCTGATTAATCGTCTTCTGCGGCTTGTAAATCCGACTGGGTCAATTTGTTGCTCGTCGGTTCCGATCTTTATTTAGAGCTCTGAGAATGTCGGACATTCCGGGAAACACTGTTTTTTGGACAGTTGGGCGGTAATAGAGCACTGACTATAGCTGCTGTGCAAAGATTGTTTTGAAATTTGAGAGATTGCTTTTGTTTTCGGGGTTGATGACGAAACAGTTTGTCATCGTTCTTTTGTGCTTTTCTGATTGTACATATTACACACAGCTCGATTGAACTTTTGTTTTATGAAATCTCAGAGCAGGATTAATTTTTACAAGGAAAGTACTTCTATGGGGTGTGGAGTTACAGGTCGAGATATATATCAAAAAATTCGCAAAAATTTTCTGATTCAGAATATATATAAATTAGCTGCCTAATTTTGGTCTGATGACATGTTTTTGTCCTCAGAAGTTTTCTCGCGACACCATGCAAGTGTCTTTTTGACCGTGTTTTTAACAATAAAAAAGTTTTGTTTTGTGCTAAACTAAATTCTGAGGCCTTGACAAGCCTTAAAATATCAAATTGGATTACAACTACACCTTAAAGGTAGTTCCAATGTAAAAAATGGGTTCTAGTGTGGCAAAAAGAATCGAACCCGTTTCCCTCGGATTTCCAATCCAGCGCTCTATCCACTCGGCCATGCGCTCTCTTCCGAAGGAAGAGACCGAGCGCGCTTTTGTTGCCGCAGATTTTTTTCCTCGAGAAATACATTTACTGATAAAACTCGTTGATATACCAAAATTAGGCAGCTAATTTTTATATATTCTGAATCAGAAAATTTTTGCGAATTTTTTGATATACATCTCGACCTGTAACTCCACACCCCATAGAAGTACTTTCCTTGTTAGATAGAAATTTTGATGACTGAAAAAGCAAAAAAAATTGTATGTTACTAGTCCTTCCGGAAAGTTGCCGGACTGAAATCGACACTGTAAAAAAATGTTTGCTTTGCACCGTGCAATAGCCGTTTTTGGGGTGTCACTTGCATCATGCCTTTTCGTGAACAGTGCAAACATCAAAAATCAGTTCGGCGAGGTTCCTAATGAATTATTAGTCTGTCGGGAATATAATGAGCACACTGTTGCTGCGCCAATTGCATCGCTGAAGTGAAAAACCATTAAATTTTGTCACGACACAATTCATTTTTTCGGCGACGATGCGATTTCGATGCAACAGAGCGCTCATTATTTCCCTGGCAGACTGATAGTACCGAAGCTTTACCATCTCATTTCTCTGAGGTTTCTGCATAACGCGATATAATATTTGGCTTGATTGTGGCGAAGATCCCGTACTCTATTTCTCCAAAATTTTCCGACAATTCGAAAATCCAATTTTGAGGTATTAGTTGGACTTTAGCCCTCTTGTAAATTCCCAATTCCTAACCCCGAGAAGTCTCTTTTACAAACCAGCCTGTAAGAAAATAAATATTTATGATACCGCCGTATTCTCCCCCCTTCATCCCTTCCCCATGGCCTCGCCGCAATCGGTCGCGCACACTAACCTTTTGACCTTCTCTTTCTTGAATCCCCATCCATTTTTCCCCCGCTTTTTCCTTTTGCACATGGAAATTGCGCTCGCTCTTTTTTTGCCGCTACATAAGTGCGGCTTTTTCTTCGTTACGAAAAAAGGGTCTTGTTACCCATCTTATTCGGTGCGCGAGAGCCGTGTTGCGTTACCGAATGGAAACATTTCGACAAAAAAAGTTTTTGGCTCGAAAACGAGAACTTTGTTCGAAGGAGGGCTATCTGGGGCAGGGCTTGCAGGCTTCGGGAAGAATTTTTTTGAAGATTTCGTTGACTTTTTGTTGGAATTTTGGGTAGAATTAGTGACATACGTATACTTGAAGCAATATTAATTTTTGACATAAAAAATTTTTTTACTATTTTTTGATGACATTAAAAAATATTTATTATTTTTTAGCCATCTTATTTTTTTTTATTTCCAGGAAGACCTGCGTATTTTATACGTATAACAATTTTAAGATCTCGTCTCAAAAATTTTCGGTGCTATGACTTTCCGGGCCAACGATAGTTTGGGTCACCAAAAATGTGGATTGCGTCCCATTTTTGGTTATTAAGCCTTCTCCGGTGGCTAGAAGGCTTAATTATTAGAAATAATAAGATTGATAGAGTCCTAGGATACCTTATCACCTATTTTGAGGTATTTTACATGTATTCACATCAATAATATCTAGATAAAAGTTACAAATCTTCTTTTTTTGTCGCAAATTTTAGTCTTTTATATGTCACTATAACTCAGGATAAAGAAAACTAACGTTAGCAATAGCTAAAGTTAAAAAAATTAGACATATTGAAACTCTTTACCAAGTCTCCGCCGAGCCTTCGCCGAGCATCCTACGGCTTTGCCAGGCCTCATAGGTCTTCCTATGACCTTTTTTTAGTATCCACCTACACTGCCCCCCGTATCGATCGATTTTCTGTTGACCCGAACTTTTGTCGACCCGAAAGGTCGGGACCCGAAATTTTCCACTTTTCCTGCATCGAAACACGGTCAAAATTAAATTTCGCGACTTTGTTTTAACACAAAACACTGTTTGCTCGGTAAACGATGGGTTTACCGCGACTTTGAAAAGAAGGTCATTACCGGGCCCGACAACAAACATTGCGGCGTGCGAACAATCCCTAATACCGTTGCGTTTTGGTGCAAATGGAAGAGAAAGTGGACATTGTATTAGATTTCCGAAGCAAAGGTTGAGTGTTATAAATTTGGGTCTTAAAAAAGTTTAAATGTAATTTTTATGAAATTTGGGATAAGGTAAGGCCAGGACGCAATTATCAGAAAAAGCTATCAAGAGCAACGCACAGATCTTCTTTAAATTTTTCACATAAGTAAGGTATAGAGCACATATCAAGCGCTGAAAATTTTAGTTCGCGATTTGCAGCAGCAGCCAAGATATTCAACGATCTTTGGGGGCGAGAGAGCACGTAAGACGCGGAGAGCGGTCAGAGAACAAGATTCTTTTTAGCCGTATCTTTTCCAGTTTTGGGCATAAAATTTTTTATTTTTGTGGAAAAATTACTCTTTATCATAGAAATAGACATGAAAATTTCTATGGAAAAATTCGCAAAAAAGTGTCATGTTTCCCAACTTTCAATCTAAAAATCTCGATGGTTTTTAGCAAAGAGCGAGATAGGAGTCTCACATCTGGCCTAGAAAAAAGTATAATTTAATTCTGTGCCAAGTATCATCAAAATCTGAGCGTTTTACTTGGAGCACTTCTAGATTCTTGTAGCTATGCTTCACAGAGACAAATCAGTTTTTTTGGCCCAAAATTAACCGGAAATCCGACGGCTTTTTTCTTCAGTTGACACTTGCAATAATCGTTGATTTTTTTGGCTGTCGTTGCTTAGCGGAGGCAAAAATTTTTATTCCTTGAAAGGCTATCTATTAGTTAGAATAGATTGTCTAAATTTCAAGAAAATCTGCCATAGACTTTCCAAACAATAGTACGCTCTATCATGTCATCAAAATTCCACGGTGTTTGTAAATTTCCGTTCAGTTCTTTAACTCCAATCGAAGCCTCCGCCGTCGACCTTGACGACAGTTTAAGTTTGAACCCGACGCACTTTGTAATCCTTCTCTAACAACAATATTGACCTGAATACTCGCCGCGCGGACGTCTCGAGACTGGAGTACCTCTCCAGCCTCGCCAAGAACGAGGGTTTGTCGCGCGTCATGCCCCACCCACCACAGGCCCTCTTCCGATCCCCATAACCATGTCAGAGTCCATCGGATGAGGTGCTTAAAGGGCGGGGGGAATGAGTTTTTTCCGAGCGCCCAATTAATCCCCAACATAAATTGGCATAAAATCGCCCCGCTTGTCGTCGGGGCGGCTCACGAAAATTTGTTCAGCGCTTTTCGATTATTTCTTCGTGTGTGAATCGGGCTTGGTTATTCATTCCCGGGGCTTGCCTGAAATTCGCCGGGATTCCGAATAATTCCACACGGGCCTTTTGCTTCTCCCCCGCGATGAGGCGGAAATGATCGCTTGTTTGTGACGCTATAAGAAGTGCATGTCTTGAATTTCGAGGTGATTTCGCGGAGATTTGCTGCTTGAGGGCTGAATTTGCTGTGAATTTTTGGCAAAGATATGGAAGCTTATACTGTAATTTTGTGATATCAGGCTGTCGTGAAAATAATGAGCACTCTGTAGCATCGAAAGCTGAATCACCGCGGAGAAAATAAATTGTGGCGCGAAAAAATCAAATTGCTTCTCGTTTCAGTTATGCGATTGGCGCAGCGACACTGTGCTCATTATTTTCCCGACAGGTTTACACACAGTTTTAATTGTCTTTTTAAACAATGATTTTTTATGAAGTAGTGGGCAAAATTTTGTCAATCTTTGTGTCTAAACTATAAATGGGTGACAAATGGAATTTTGAAAATTTTAGTTAGCGCTTTCAACATACATCCGAGGTTTTGAGCAATCTTTGACGGCCTAACAAAGGCTACAGAAAAGAGCAGATTTTTTTATTGAGTCTATGCCTTCTATTGGCAACTCCCTAATACTGAAAAGTACACGAATCTGATAAATTCATCCACCGCTTTCAAAGTTATCGGAGTTTGTTTTCAAAAAATGCTTTCTCAATCTCTAAGAATGCCTGGTTAACCTTATTGTAACTATTCAAGCTAACTATACTCTTGGAAAATTGTTTCGTTACATCCCACTGCCAAACCTATCGTTTCAATTTCTCGTTGTAAGTAGACGTTGGCTAATTTCCAAACATGCCCGCAGAATCTTCGTAGTTCTTTTAGCTGGCCGCAAAGTGTGGACCCGCCCTGTCCAAATCCAGCCGAGATATTCAATGGTCTTTGCCGCCTTGAGGTTACAGAAAAAGAGCCACAATTTTTTTTTTATTGAAGCTATCCCAAATTTCATCCAAATCGACTGCTTTTTCTTTGACTAATTTTTTGACCTCTCAAGATACGAAAAACTTAAATCTACAGCTCTTTTCCAGCCTAAATTTTGAAAATTTTCGTCCAATAGATGCATCTTTAGCCTATAAAAATCCCATAACTTTTTTTCCCGCCTCCAAAAAAGGTCTCCAAGACATCCCATCCCGTACGACGTAATCAGCGGAACCCATGTGCCCGGAGGCGCGAAAGAGTTTCGCTTTATGCGTCAACTGACATTTTGCCTTCTTCGGCCCCTGCCCTCGTTTTTCCAAAAGTTTCTCCCCGCCTTCTCCACGGCCGCCGGTCGGAAACGAGACTTTTTTGGGTACAGCAAAAACCAGAAACATCCGCTATAATATTCGCGGGGCCGCACATTTTGTTTGTTTTGTCGGTTTTTTTGGGGACAAATAGTTGCCGCGGAGATTGTGGCTTTTGTCGTTTTGGGTGTCGCCCGCCTGAATGGGCCTCGGAATTGACACTTTTCAAGGGCCTGTGCAAAGAATGGGGTTGTTTTGTAAAAGTTTTTGTTGTTTTTGACAGTGAGCCGGGAGAAGAGGAATGGAGCTGGGCCTTCTTTTGGATCCTTTCCAAAATATTTTGTATACGAATGGGTAAACAAATTTTTACTTTTTTCTCAAGGAATATGGGGAATATGAATTACGGGCTACAGGGGAAATGTGCCTCAAATATTTATGACAATTTTGACGGAATTTAAAAAAATTTTTTTGACTATAGTAATTTGTAAGGCATATATGAAAATTTTAGCTCACACACTGAGCCACCCCAATTTTTATTGAACTTGACATAAATTTAGATGACTTTTTAAGATATGTGAAGTTTCTAGCTCGCCTCTTGCAAAGACAACTTTTTTTGGGAAGATTTTTAAGTCAAAAACTGTGAAAAATATGGCACTTTTTTGCGAATTCTGGCTTGAAAAGTAAGACACATATTTCTACTGTATAGGGTGATGTTTCCATAAAAAATCAATTTTTTCCTCGCTACACCGGCAAAGATACGATCAAAAAGGCCGTTCTTTCGGATTACTCTCCACATTGCGCCCTTTCTCTCATCTACAAAGATTGTTGAATATCTCGGTTGCCTCTACAAAGTGCAAGCTAATATTTTCTGGAATTGATCTATCTATCATACCCGGCATATCTATAAAATCCCAAGAAAATCCGCGAGCTACAAGCTTACAACAGAACCCCCAAAAGCTCAAAATTTTTCCTTCTAAAAAAGTATCAAAAACCTCTCAAAAAGTATTCGATTCCCATGCATAATCGTTGCCACATCATTTGTCGTTCATTCATCATCCCAGCTTACCCTTACTGCCAACTTTCTAACTCTCTAAATTTTCAGTACGATCAGATAATGATGGCGTCATCGTATGCCACCCCATCTACCTCATCCTCCCCTGTAAATGGCTTCGCCTCGATCTCACCGGAACCCCGGTTCAACCCATTCAACAGCTCATCCGAATCGAGCCTTACGATCAATTCGATCGACTCGCAAAGCTGTGTCTACGGAGAAGATGGAATGCTGATGAGTGCGGGGCCCGACGCGCTGTGGAAGAAGTTGCTGCCGACGCAAGACTATGAGCCTCCGAAGAAGCTGGTGTTCACGTTGCTACTGAATTTGAGGGCCTACGTTTCGCCGGCGGAGATGATGCAGAAATTAATTCAGGTAAGGAGGACATTTTATTTGGGAATTATGCGATGTCTAGTCGCTTGATCAATGTAAAATTTTGAATTTAAGATTACAATAGGCTCTATTTCAACCCATAAAATTTTTAGTTCGCTCTTTGTCAGCGCCGCTGAGATATCGAATTTTTTGCGAGAGAACGAGCAAAATTGAGAGAGTCGGGCAGACAGAAAAGAAATCTCCTCAAAAGTTCTCCTCTTCTCAACAGAAAATCTTTAGGTCTTTTGGAGAAACATTAAACGTATTTTTTAGTGAACAAATCTGAAACTTTAATCCTAAAAAACATGAATTTTTGGATACTATGATCTGCATAGTGCGGTTTTGCGCGTCGCTAAGATCGTGAGTAAAATGCTTTGCACAGTGAATTTTACGGCAAATTATCACGATTTCTTTTTCCTCTAGTAGATATCAGTCTGTCGGGAAAATAATGAGCAAAATCTCGCTGGGCCGATCCCGTCGCTGAAGTGAAAAGCAATTTCGTTTTTTCTCACACAATTCATTTTTTCGGAGGCGATTTTTGATGCGACCAAGCGCTACTTTCCCGACAGACTGACAATATTTTTTTTGTCTCGCTAAACATGACTCATCCAAACAAACAAAGCCAGAAAATCTAAATTTTTTCAGAACTGTATTTTCGAGCAGCACACCAGTCTGTCCAACTTCAACAAGCACAGCCATTCCAAGCTTTTCGAGCACGTCTTTGAGTTCGTCTCGGAATGGACGACCAACATTCCCTACGACTTTCGCACCGAGGAGATGCGGCAACGCCTCAGCGAGCTGTTCAGCCTATGCGCGACGGACCCGTCGCAGCATCGACGATGCGCCAAGCTCACCGAAAACTTGAATCGGATCCTCGCGAAACGCGATCACTACGAACGAGCGATGCGGAATCTGGAGGCGCCGTACGAGGTGCAGGTCGAGAGGGTGGACCAGCTCGTCGGGCTCACCTCCATGGGCGTTACGGCGCAAGTGGTGGCGCAGCAATTGGCTCATATTGAGCTGGAGAGGCTGAGCATGATCGGCGTGGATGAGATTGTTCAAACGCTCGGCTCGAGTAGTCTGGAAACTCTGGGAGAGGTAAGCCAGAAATTGTTGCATTAGCCGTATTTTAAGACCCAATTTAGCGACGAAAAAGCAGGGCAAAAATTTATACGTCCCCTTTGCTGCTGTATAACGAAAACAATCTTAATTTTTTCGAGACACGTCATTCAGGTTTCGTTAAAATTTTTCATACTGGCCTTAAATTATTAGCTACAGATGATCTGAGAAAAATTTGACCTCACCTTTGCGAGAACTGTTGAAATGAGAGAGACGGCAAAAAAATGATTTTTGACTTTTCCACTCATGGCCGTAAGAACTCGATTTATGAATAAACAGTTCACAGCAAAAACGAATCAAACGTTTTACGCTGAAAGTTGAAGAAATGTGAATTTTTTTTTGCGAATTTTGGCATCAAAAGCTTCATCTCTATTTCTAAAGTCAAGCTAGAATTTTCCCTACAGTAGGGAGCCTGATCCAGTGACAATAAACGGACCTGATCCAGTGACAAAAACGTACCATTTTGCATCCGGGAAGTATCAAAAATGCTGCAAAATACCTCCGTCTCCAAGTGAAAAAACGCCTTTCTGAAGAGCGCGCGCTTTCCAGCACTAAAAGAGTGGGCGCGCTTTTGAAATCGGAGTGTCTTTTTCACTTGGAGATGGAAGTATTTTGCTGCGTTCTTGATGCTTCCTGGATACAAAATGTTACGTTTTTTGCCGTTGGATCAGGTCCGCCACTGCAGTTTCAAAATTGAGCAACATTGTCGGTTAATTACCATTGCTAGAACCCCAATTTCCATCGTAAAGAGTTTATTTTTAGCATAACACCGATGCCTCTGGGAATATCAAGTACTACATCAAATGGTTCAACCAGTTGAGCTCCTTCACCGCCACGGAGATCCTAAAGCACACCAAAAAGAAGCACAGAGTCCGCTGCATCGAGTTTTTCATCGACCTCGGGAAAGAGTGCATAAACATAGGGAATTTCAATTCATTAATGGCAATCGTTGCGGGGATCTCCACTCAAGCCGTAACGCGGCTAAAAAAGACTGTAAGTAGTGGAATTTTGGCAAAAAAACTTTAATTTCCCTATCAGGCACGTTTTCCATGTCCGAAAAACTCGTAAACATCGTAAACACTCAAAAAACCATAACCAAATTTCAGTGGCAACGCGTTGAAAAAGCCAAATTGGAGATCCTCCAACATCAGCTGAATCCCTCCGGGAATTTTGTCAGCTATCGTGCCACCCTCAACGCCGCCATCTGGAGATTTGAGGGCGCGAAAAATGATAATGAACGTGTCATAATTCCATTTTTCGGGCTGTTGTTGAAGGACCTTTACATGATACATCGATCATCCCTCGAGCCGCTGCCCAACGGACAACTCAAAATTGCGGTGAGTTTTGAGACATTGAGGGGTTGGGGTGTAGATTACAATAATCGGTGATCATCGAGGGGAAATTTATTTTATTTTTTAGGGGTTTGAGGCGTTTTGAAGTCAAAATTGGGGTTTTCCGAGCAAACGAATTTACAGGGGAAGTACTCCAAGTGCGACGCTCAGATTTTGATGAAACTTGGCACAAATTTAGAAAATTTTTTCTAAGATATATGCGACAATCCTAGCTCGCGCTTTGCAGAAGCAAACGAGATTTTTAGATCGAAAGTCGGCGAAAATTTAGGACTTTTTGCCGAATTTCGGAACAAAAAGTTTCATGCCTGTTTCTACCGTAAAGGATAATGTTTCTACAAAAAATTAAATTTTTCCGCACGAAACTGCCAAAGTTAAGGCCAAAAAAACGTTTTTCTCTCTGGCCGCTCTCTCTAGCGTGCTCTCTCGGCGGCAAAAATCGTTCGATATCTCGGCGGCGCCCGCAAAGCGCGAGCTAAAACTTTCAGGAATTGATATTTGGTCCATACCCCACGTGCGTTCAAAATTTAAAGAAAATCTGAGCGCCGCACTTGGAGTACTTCCCCTGTTAGTTTCGCTGAAAAAATATAAAATATAAAAAAAATTCTTTTACTAGTCCATTCGTAAAGTCGCAGGAGTGATTCTTGCGGCATGCATTGTGCAAAAAAAAACTAGGGCGACACCAGAAAAACGTCTATTACAAAAAGCACTAAATGGCACAGTGAAAGATGAACTTTTATTTTCTCACATTGTATGTCGCCTAAATCACTCCAGCGACTTTGCAAATGGGCTAGTAAAAGACTTGTTTTATCTTTGTGCATTTTTCGGCCAAAATAAGTTTGTTTTGCTCGGGGAAACCCAATGTTTGCCCTCAAAATACCTCAAGCCCAAAAAAATTTCCAATTTTATTCTTGATCAATTCAGCGGAGCTAGAGCAACCGCAATTTGCCCTTCAAAGGTCCTTCCCTTAAAATATCAGAAAGCGATTAGAATCCTTAACCATCAAATTTTTGATTTTTAGATGTTTGCGCAGTTCGCTCAGCACATGACCAACCTGATCCAATGGAAAGATCGGCCCTGCCCGTTCAAACGAAATACTAGTGTTTTGCAATACCTCCTGCTGTCACAGACCTATTCCGATAATGGTAAGGGCGTCTTCAAGAAAGAGTGGAGCCTCTGGACAACAAAACCCGTCTATAACAAAAAATTTTCACAAGGGTTGTTTTGAGGACCAAACTGAACCTCTGTATAACAAAACCCCTCTATAAAGAACAATTTTTTTTGTCCATTGCTACTTGTCGAGAAGCTTGTATATACTCCTTGCCATTTGTTCTAAACGCACAAAAAATTTAAAAAATTCCTTTCCAGATCTCCTGAACCTGTCATTCGAAAACGAGCCGCCCGAGACGCCCAGCGAGCGGGAACAGTACAAAAAACTGACTGAAAATAAAAGCGACTCCAGTTCCAACAAGTCTTGAAAAAAATATTAGAAATCTCTAGCATTTTGTTGAAAAAATATTTTCATTTGTTTGTAGATAGCTGTACAGTAAAATAAACTCTATTTTTTGCGCTAAAAATAAACCAAAATCAGTCTTGTAATCTCTCTTTACTTGTAGAATACTTTCCGGGTTATAACAAGAAACAAATTTGTGGATTGAGCGAGTATTCATGCTGGAATTAGAAGGTCATGTTGTAATGATCGTGTCCCATCATGTGGGCGTTCCCGAACACGCTTTGCAGGTTGGTGGAGCCCGATGGGGAGGTGTTCATGGGGGAGGGGGTGCTCATGTGAGAGTAGGCGGCAGATTGGGATTGGTGTTGAAGGTTGGGCGGGTTCATTTGGGGGATGATTGGAGGGGAGTACTGTTGAGGTTGGGGTGTCATCAAGGCGGCGGGGATGCTGGTCGAGGGCACGGAGAAGAGACTGTCCGGGATCTGGTCCAGCATCTCAATGAGCTCCTGGAAATATGTGGTCATAAAAAATATGTCACACTTTCATTGGGGCAATAAATTTTGGAATTTCCCTAAATACGACCAGTCGTTTCTAGCACAAATTTAGAAAAAAATCGTCAAAGACACATTTGCTTTTTGGGGAAATTTGTGGAGCGTTGGATCTGTGGATAATATAAATATTTATAGAGGGTTCCTCAAATGCGAACCTTTGTTTTCAATGAAACTTTGTTCAAATCTAGAATAGAATTTCCTGAGACATTTATGAAAGTTTCAGCTTGGAATTTGAAAAATTCACCATGATTTATAAGCCGAAAGTGAGAAAAATCGAAAATTTTTTATCGATTTGCGGCTGGAGAACTTCAGGCTATATTGAATGTGAGGTTTATAATGTTTCTACAAAAATCGATTTTTTCCCAGCAGAATTTGCGAAGATATTGCAAAAAACCCGTTTGTTTTTTGTCTGTCAGAACTCCTAGCTTTTGAAGTAAGCCTGGAGAGCCGGTAGACAATAAAAAACAACTTTTCGGTAATAACTTCTCTTTCACTGCTCGGAAAAATCGATTTTTTAATAGAAACATTATAAACCTCACATCCAATAAACCCTGAAATTTTCAAGCCGCAAATCGATAAAAAAATTTCAATTTTTCTCACTTTCGGCCTATAAATCATGGCAGATTTTTCAAATTTCAAGCTGATACTTTCGTAAATCTCTCAGAAAATTATATTCTAGATTTGCACAAAGTTTCATTGCAAACAAAGGTTCACATTTGAGGAATCCTCTATAAAAATTTATATTATCCACAGATCCAACGCTCCACAAATTTCCCTAAAAAGCAAATGTGTCTTTGATGACTTTATTCTAAATTTGTGCCAGAATCAACCGGTCGTATTTAGGGAATTCCAAAATACCAACGCCTCACAAATTCCCCCAAATCATTCTCCGAATCTCCCTTACCAATTTCGATTTCCCATGGAAATTGCACAGCTGGACCAGCTCCCTGGGAAAATCATCGGAAGTCGCATTCGCCGGCAACCTAAGACTCAGCGATCCGGGTGGTGTTGGAGTCGTATAACTCTGTCCATTGTAGGCCGGAGGAACCGGCGAGGCCACTTTAATGCCGGCCGCCGCATGCTCCAGATCATTGACCATATCCGCCGAAGGGGGCTTCACTTTGCACGTAACGACGGCGATCCGCATCGCCGTGAATGTGATATGTTGCATTGCGTCCAAGTCGCCGGAATGTGTGACATTCGACGAGACGTGTCGCGAAGTTTCCAGCTCCTCCATGGAGGAGGCGCGGTCTTTCATTTCCTCGATGACTTCGCTGATCAGGACGGGCTCAAAATTCGAATTGATGACGTATTTCACCTTCTCCGCCACTCCAATGTCCCTCAAATAGTCCTTGAGGCACTTGGCTTGGAGTTTCTTCAGATCCAAGGGTTCCAGATGCATTGGGGCCATGGCTGTGTCCTTGGTCAAGGAATGGGCATGGGACTTGACGGTGAAGCAGATTGTGCCTCCAGTCACGAACGACAATCTCATGATAATGGCTGAATCATAATCAGCGAGGATCTCGGCGACTTGATCAAACTCCAAAAAGCCCATAATCAGGTTCTTCTCCCACAACTTCCGCACATTCGTTTTTTGGTCCTGGAAAATCTGCAGGAGCTCCAGCATTCCTCGCCAGACGCTGAATCGGGTCTTCACGTTCCCGCATTCGTAGCGCAGATGGGGACAGAGCATGTTCTTGAAGGTTACGACTTCTGAAAATCATCGAAAAATTGGTCAAAATATTATCCATGACATCAATAAGACCTCTAAAAAATTTAATCTCAATCTGTCCATCAATCTGTCCAACTTACGCGCCCTTCCATCCCTCTTAATATCCCTGCTGGACGGTGTGCAATCATTGCACTGCAATTTGTACCTCAACAAGTCAAAATCACTGTCCTTCAAGCCCCGCTGAACGTCCGCATTCACCCGAAAATGTTGTTTGAAGAGTTGCATAAAATGGTCCCAATGCATTCCGTACTCCTGCCATTGGAGAAGCAGACCGTCCTGCGCGTTCGTTCCATACAGCCAGAAACAAGTGGCAGTGTACGAGGACATCATCCGTTGGACTTGACAATCCTAAATCGAGAATAAAAAAAACTTTTGGGGGAGATCTCACCTGATTCCTTCTTGTGGCTATTGTAAATGGCAAGGAGAGGGTGTGAGCGGTGGCGAACCGGCCGGACGGAGAGAACATTGTGGCGGTGATATGGAAATAGAAGATTGGGCGCTTGCCATGCGATTTTAGATCGTTGGCCAAGGCGCTTGGAGAGAGATCCTGAAAATTGGAAATAAAAAATATCAAGGATCAAGTATAATATAATCATCAAAAAATATAGTAAATCCAAGTGTCAACAAACAATTTTGCTTATTTCAAAAGACCAAAAAACTCATAAAAACCCACTTGAAAAGAATTGTTGGTCGACTGCCGTCCTTTTTGCCTTGTTGTGCACAAAAGTTGCGGGTAAGTCGCGGCCCAGTACCGATTCTTCGAATTGAACGCCGGATAAATCACAACCATGTCCTTGCTATTCACATCCGACTTCTTATGCGCCGTGTTGCCCTGCGGCTCGCCGGAACTCGTCGTGGAATTCGAATTGGCCCGTTTTGTACCCGAAGTCGGCTTCATCGCCAACAACGCCGCGGACGGCACAACGGCGATTGGCGAAGGCTGCTGGAGCATCTTTTGCCTTCGCATTTCGGACTGAATGTGCTCCGCCGCCTCCTCGGTCACCACTTGGACTTCGAATTGTTTGAAGACAACGCCGCGCGCAAGAGCGCCGCAATTCATGGCGAATAAATTATTTGTGACCAAGATGGCGTTGTTGGACGGCTCGGTGGCCAACACACAGTCGGACATGAGGAGCTCCAAGGCGGAGAAGACGTTGTCGGAGAGTGATCCGACCGGATCAATATCTCCAAACACTTTGGAGGCATTCACAACATGGCGAAGACCTAAAAATCAAAAATTTTGGAAAAAATTCGCTTACCTTGTAATCTGGCACCAAGAACCGCCAATTTGTGCATCATATAGGAGTAGAAACTGACCAATCGATTAATCGATTCGGAAGACATTGGCTCATAATTTACCATGTGTCTGATCTGCGCCGCTCTCACATCCGCCCACATGTGAACACTCTGCTCATTGCAGAAGCTCTTGAAGTAGTCGATGAACGGCCCCAATTGATTTTCATTGAACGCTTGGACCAATCGAAGAAATTCTTGTTGATGTGGAGGTGTTGTTGGGAAGGCGTGCTGGAAACGCTCATAGATCCCATGTACTTGGCTGACGGTGTCGCCAAGCTTCGCCGAGAGCTCGGAGAGAGTGTGAGAGGGAAGTTGAAGGGATGCGGGGACATCGGTACTTCTGAAAATAGAAGATTGTTGAAAAAATTTGGAGAAAGTCCAAAAAATCCTGAAGAATCAAAAAAACACGGAAAATCTGATGAAAAAGGAGAAGATAATGGGCCAAAAAGGTTCTCAGATTGTTAGAAAATATTTTTTACTCTGAATTCAACAATATTTTCCGCCATTTTACCTCGAAAATCGACTGAAACAACGAAAAAATTCGACAAAAAAATTATTTTTGCCAATGTTGCGAAAAATCCCACGGAATATCGATTGTTGCGGAATTTGACGTTTTGCAACAACCCTTCAACTCAACGCACCTTGAATGGTTGACCAATTTGATGAGGGCATCGTTCAGCTTGTTCAAAATGACCTTATCCTCCGACGAACAGTACGACCGATTCAGGCTCTGCTGCAGCCGGCTGGTAATGCACATCACATTCCAGGTGAGCATGGTCCATTCCTCGATGAACTCCTGCTCCTGGACCGGCGGTGAGGTCTGGATGCGGAAGACGCGGGAGTCGATTTCGCCCAGCAATTTGCAGATCATCTTTTTCACCTAAAACAGGGTCGAGTTTAGTGGGCGTAGGGGAACGGTAAGGCTGAAATCGAGCAACTCAAAATCGAATACGTTCAAGGATACTCTATTATGCAATAATGCGTTTAAGATTACTCTACAGAGACATCGCGGTCGGTGTCGGCCCTCCTCTTTTCCAGACGGCTACAAATTTTTTGCGAGGCTTTTTTTGGATTACGGTTTACATACAGAAAAAACAAGCGAAACGTGCGGCTAATGACTTACAACCTGCATTTCCTCACGGAATAATGTACCTTAAACATCTTTTCCTCTTCCGTATGCGTGATGGGCGGGTCGTAGTGGCGCTGCACGTCGTGCCACATGCAGAACAGGTCGAACAACAACATCTGGAAGGCGTCGTCGGTCAGCATGGCGGCTAGCGCGGACAAAAGTCCTCGGACCTTTGTTGGGAAACTAAGCCGTTTTGAGTTGGGTCTTGAAGGCTGGACAATCTGCAAGGCGTGGGATGAGAAAATGCAGATTCGCGGCAAAAACGAACGATCAGGATCGTCGGAGGAGGGAAAATTGGTTCATAAGGGGAGTTCTCGAAAAGCGAGGAACAGATTCTGATGAAATTTGGCAAAAGTCAAGAATAAGGCTTGTCTAGATGTCTGTGAGAGGCTTTTATCAGTCTGTCGGAAAAATAACGGCGGATTGTCGCAGCGAAATGTCTCGCCTCGCCGCTGTCGCGCACCAAATCCCAAGCCGCGGCTTGCAGTCGCACAGCGATGATTGGCGATTTCGAGGCGCGAAGATCCGCCGTTATTTTCCCGACAGACTGATAGATCGAAATACACCGCGATTTTTGCGCCGAAAAATCTTCGTTTCTCGCAATCTTCCTTACGATTAGGTGCTCTAGGCCAACCTATTTTTGTTTTAAACTTGGCACGGTGTAATACTATGGGCTTCCAAGACAAACATGATGAATTTTAACTCCTCGTTTTGCGTAAACATACAAGATTCAATTTAAATTTGCCGACAAAATTATCTTTCCGCTTCCTTATCAGTCCGTCGGAAAAATAATGAGCACTCTGTCGCATCGAAAATCGCCTCGCCGGCGGGAAAATGAATTGTGTCGCGGAAAAATCAAATTGCTTTTCACTTAGGTGACGCGATTGGTGCAGCGACATTGCGATCATTAATTTTCCGACAGACTAATACCGGGCTCGCCACATGCCAGATTTTCAGCCAAGGCTTTGCAGAAACGCAGAGATTTCGATGCAGATAGGTTGCAAAACATAAATCATCATTGTTTTGGACATTTTTATGATGTAGGAGCTACTTTTCCTTTCAGAATATGGAAGAATACAATTATACAAAAAAAATAATTCTTTCCCAAAACACCCTTTTTCTCAGACCGTTTCTTCTTCATTCCCATTCTCTGCCTTCTGCAAGAAGAGAAAAGCAACAATTGAACTTTTAAATAATTGATTGGTAGACCAGAGGGGCCGGTCATGCAACGTTATCAGTTAGCCTGAAAAATAGTGACACTCTGTCGCATCCAGAAAATGAATTGTCGCGGCAAAATCACAGCGCTTTTCCTTCAGCGACCCGATCGGCGCAGCGACATTGTGCTCATTATTTTCACGGCAGAGTGATAAAGAAATTGTGGACATTGCATTCTGAGTATTTCTTCATTTAAAAAAATCAAAAAAAAAATGTGAAAAACTCGAGAACCTTGAAAAACTCCCTTCAATTAAAAATCTCAAAAAAAATTGTCATCGATTTCCGCCACTTGCACGTTCATTCGCCCATCAAAAAACCCTCCAAAAATCACCCTTCCGCCAGTCATCAGACGTTGCAAAAATTTCGAAACCCCCAAAAAAAGATTAGATGGAAAACGCGGACCGCGATAACATTCACCCCCTGCCCCCAGCGAACCGCAGATATCAAGCCCCGAAAGCGGCGAATGCGACAAAAAAGCGGCGCGCTCTCTGCAACGAATCCCCCCTGTTGATCAACACAGTGGAATCGCGCGTCCGCCGCGTTCTTCTCCAAATCAGCAGATCAGTGCTTTTTGTTAAGATTCTCCCGTTTTACGTCTGACCCTACACCCCTTCTGCAATATCATTTTGGGGGCTTTATCTGTGGACGGAGCAGAAAAAAATTCTGTTTTGTGGGGGCACTCTTATACAAAAGGGTCAATCGGGTCGAAAAGAAGGTCCGGTGTGGACGGAATTTGGACCGCAAGAAGGCTTAATTACCATTGAAAATGAAGAATTTTTTTTTGAAAATACTAGTAGTGAATTTAGGATGAAACGTGAAGGAAAGTAGGAGGCTAGCAAAAACTGGTTGGCTAGCCAAAGCGTCAGAAAAAACAATGGTTTCCGGGGTAAAAGAACCCTTTTTTAAAAGGTTGTAGGGACCTCAGTTTGCACTTAAAAGTCTTGTTATTTCGTTGGCAAAAAATAATGTCGCTTAAAAATACCTATTCCAAAAAGGAACTCTCTGCGCCGCCTCCGCCGAAAGTTATAGCCTTCTACTTTCCTTCACGTTTCTTGAAAGAGACTGTAGTTGAAATCGAAAAAATAGATTTTTTGAAGAGGTCAAGTTTCCATATCGAAAAATAAACAAATAACATTATAGTGTTTTTATCTCTGACCGCAGGAGTCATCTGGTACCCGTGAGGACTTTTAGAGCAATTGCAAAGCCAAAAAAGGAGTATAAACTTGGTAAAAAGAAATAGCCCAAGGGCGACGCTCAGATATTGATGAAACTTGGTTCTACTAGTCCTTCCGGAAAGTCGCCGGACGGAAATGGGCGACATGCACTGTGCGAAAAAAGTCAGGGTGCGAGCGACACCCGAAAAAAGGTTATTGCACGGTGCGAAAAGCAAGAAATTGCACAGTGCAAAGTGAACTTTCGTTTTCGCGGAGTGCATGTCGCCGATTTCCGTCCGGCGACTTTCCGGAAGGACTAGTATGACATTTACAGGCCTTCCAGCTCGAGCTTTACAGAAATCACCTTGAAAATATGGGACAGTTTTTACCGCATTTTGGCATCAAAAGCTTCCTGCCAAGTTCTATCGTAGAGGATAATGTTTTCACCAAAAATAAACTTTTTTCTGCGCAAAACTGGCAAAGATATTACCGAAAAGTGTTTTTATCTCTAACCGCTCTTCGCGAATAGTGGAATTTCCAAAAATTTATAAGTAGTCAATGCCTGAGGTGTGTGCAAAATTTAATAAAAGACCTGGGCGTCGCTCTTACGGTCCTTTCCTTTTAGCGTGTTTACAATAAAAATAACCACCAAAAAATCATCAAATTTGCAACAAAGAACTTGGCCAAAAAAATCCCCAAAAAAGAATTGGCTTATCAGTCTGTCGGGAAAATAATGAGCACAATGTCGCTGCGCCGGTCGCGCCACTGAAGTTAAAAAAACAATTTAACTTTACCGCGACACAATTCATTTTCTCGGCGGCAATGCAATTTTCGATGAGAGATTGTGACATTATTTTCCCGACAGACTGATAAAAATTAAGATGAAGATTGATTAAAGTCCAAATTTATTCAAAATCATTCAATGTCCCCCAAAAATCATCACTGATCCGCCGCCAAAACCCAAACTCACCGACTCGTCTCCGATTGTCCCCAAAAAAGTTCCACTTAATGCGGTGTTGCGGACTCAGCCGTTGGCGTCGCACGCTGAGTACTAGATCTCCATTCCAGAAGGCCGTCGGGAAGTCGGGCGTCGAGATCCCCCCACTCTCTCTGCCGGAGTGTTCGGAAGAATCGATTTGGGAAGCACAGGAGAAGAGCGCCCCCTCCTCTTCTTCGATCGTCTCTATTCGCGCCGATGCGTACCAAACGGGGAGAAACGGAGAAAGTTTTTGGGCTGGGGCTGGTTTTTATCTCTGAAATTTTTGTGTCATCAGCAAAAGTGGACAAGCGGCGTGTGTGTGGTGTTCAGTTCGAGGGAGTGCATGCCAAATGGAAAGCGGAAATGAACAATAGATAATGCCGTCTTGATGGGTCGGGATTCCCATGTACTTTGGCCAGTTTTGGTCAAAATTTGAAGAGAATGTTGTAAAAATCAAAGGAAAAGAATTCACCCAAATGTTCAACATATTTGGTACAAATATAGATTGATTTTTTTTTCTAACAGGGGAAGTACTCCAAGTGCGACGCTCAGATTTTTTTAAAATTTTGCACACACGTCGGGTATGGACTAAATACCAATTCTTGAAAGTTTTAGCTCGCGCTTTTCAGGCGCCGCCGAGATATCGAACTTTGCCGCCGAGAGAGTACACTAAATGTGGAGAGCGGTCAGAGAGAAAAGCGCTTTTTGGCCTTAACTTTGGCAGTTTCGTGCGGAAAAATTTGATTTTTTGTAGAAACATAATCCTTCACAATCAAAATAAGCATGAAACTCTTCGTGCCGAAATTCGGCTAAAAGTCTTAAATTTTGGCCGACTTTCGATCTAAAAATCTCGGTTGTTTCTGCAAAGCGCGAGCTAGGATTATTTTAAAAAAAAATTATTCTAAATTTGTGCGAAGTTTTTTCAAAATCTGAGCGTCGCACTTGGGGTACTTTCCCTGTAAGATATATGCGAGATTTATGGTGCACGCTTTGCAGAAACAACCGAGGTTTTTCGCGAGAAAGCTGGGAAAAATGTCATAATTTTTTGCGACTTTTGGCGTGAAAAGTTTTGTGCCTATTTCTACCGTAGACGACGATGCTTCCACAAAAAATCAAGTTTTCCCCACAAAAGTGGCAAAGATACGGCCAAAAAGTGCTCTTTTTTCTGACCGATCTCCGCATTTTGCGTACTCTCTCGGCGACAAAGATCGTTCAATATCTCAGCTAACCCTGCAAAGCGCGAGCTAAAATTTTCAGGAATTGATATGTGGCCATTGCCCAAAGTGTGTTCAAAATTTCATGAAAATCTGAGCGCTGTACCCTTGTCAGCGTAGATTAAAACCAACCAAAGGGAAAACTTGTTGAGCGAGCCATTAAACATCGATATATTTTTGGTCAATCTTGGCTAGGAATTTCGAAATTTCCGGACGTTTTTTTTATGTTTCTAAAACCTTATGAATGAAAAAAATTCGTGTGTGACTAAAAAAATTGTGGTCGCATCTTTTCAAAGAGTTTCTTCAAATTCCGAAGGACTTACTGTCAGTTGCATCACAATCATGAAACTTCAAAAAAAAAAGATTTTTTTGTTAAAAAAATAACTTATGTAAAACAATTCTAAAATAACTTGTAGTTTGAAGTTCCTCACATATAAGTTTAACCTGCTTCTTACCCAAAATTTTTGTTGATTACTCACTATTTACACTCCAAAACCATGAATTTTGCATAGCTTTGAAAGCGACCTTCTCGCTCGGTCAGCCGCCATTTCTTTATCATTTTTCGAAAGTATTTGTATTACACACTCAAATCGAAACTAAATATTCGATAGCACAGGCTACAAGTTGCCCCCGAAAATGCACAAGTCTTGATTGATTTTTTGATGTCACCCCGAAAAGGTCGATTTTTTTTATGTTTTATTGAATAAAAGGACCAACCTGATACGCCCGCAAAGGCTGGTGAGTTGAGCGGTTCGGAAAAAATTCGCGGATTCTATGCCCGTGAGGCAAAATACAGCCTCGACGGAACGAACGGCTGCACTGTTTGGTGGGCGAGCACTGAAAAATGGAGGGTTAGAGGAGGACGGAATTAATACAAAGTGAAAAAAATGAAATAAAATAAAAAAAAAACACGAATTCAAAAAAAAACATCGCTAATAAGGGAAGTACAGTACCACAAGTCCGGCGCTCAGATTTCCTTTAGATTTTTCTCAAATGTCAGGCATAGTCCACATATCAATTGCTGAAAGTTTTAGCTTACGCTGTGCAGGCACAGCCGAGATATTCAACGATCTTTCAGGGCCGAGAGAGTACGCGAAACACGGAGGTCGCCAGAGAGAAAAAACTCTTTTTTGGCCATAACTTTGCTAACTTCGTGAGAAAAAAATTGATTTTTTGTGGAAACATTACTCTTTATGATAGAAATAAGCATAAAACTTTTCATGCTAAAATTCGCAAAAAATTGTTGCATTTTTGCCAAGCTTCGACTTAAAAATCTCGGTTGTTTCCGCAAAGCGCGAGCTAGGATTCTCCCATAAATTAAAAAAAAGAATTATTTTTAATTTATGCCAAGTTTGATCAAAACCTGAGCGTCTCACTTGGGGTATTTCCCTTGTAAGCTATAACATAATATTTCTTCCCCCAATAAAATCACAAGCTACACAGATTTTCTCTCTGTTATTGCCCGTTTAATAGTAAACATCGCGAAAAAACACATGTAAAGTAATGAAAGATGGGGTTCCACAGATCTTCGAAAATTTTTCGTTACCTATCAATGTCCGGAAAATAAAAAAAAATATAATAAAATCCACAAAAATCATCATTGTTATCGCGATGTTTCCCCCCAAAAAATCATTTTTTTCCCGTAAAATTGGCAAAGATACGGCCAAAAGGAGTTCTTCTCTCTGACCGCTCTCCGCATTTTGCGTGCTCTCTCGGCAGCAAAGACTGTTCAATATCTCGGCTGCCCCTGCAAAGCGTGAGCTAAAACTTTCAGCAATTGATATGTGGCCTATCTCTAACTTGTGTGCAAAGTTTAAAGAAAATCTCAGCTTTGCACTTGAACCCCTCATTATAAAAAGAAGCCCCAAAATTGTTTTTGTTTTAAGTTCAAAATCTTCTTTTCCCCCGTCCAGTGTTCAGTGACAAACCGTTAAACTCCGCAAAGTTGAATCTGTCGCGGACAGGCCTTTTAGCGACCAGAATCTACGCAACATTGCATTAAAAATTTTTCGGTGGCGCCCCACGTCAAGAAATTTCGGGCATTGCAAAGGTTCTCACAGCGAAAAAAAATTCATAAAATCTGTCATCCAAATGGCACATAACAACAATGTTTAACCTAATTTTTTTTATGGGAACTCTAGAGAGTACTATATAGTAGTCGTATACAACTTTTTTTTATACCGCTGGCACATTCTAAATGGGTGTCATCGTGACGCATTTTCTGAACATGGTTCGAGCTAGGCTAAAAATAGTGCAAATTTCAAGGCCGAATATCAAAAAAACTGTCCCATCAAGCGGGACGAGACCGGTGTAGATACTTGAAGAACAGTTTAAGGATTTTTTTGACGTGGAGTCTATACCTCCTTCCAGCGCTCTCTGAATCGGTATCGTCGATACAAACTTTTATTTAGACGTTGTATTCTTCGCCTTGGAAGACTGTCAAAATACTATGATTATGGGTATATTTTGATTCTATTAGCTTAAGCAGCTCTCGAGCTTTCTATTGGTATCAATATCTTGTGATTTACTATTAATCTTTACGTCAAAATATTGCAAACCATTTGGACAAAAACGGATTTGCACACGGCAGAATGCCAAAAAAAATTCTAGGCTTTTTCATTGGGCGCCCGTTTTTCTTTTATTTTTTCTTGACGTGCGCCCCCGACCGGCCCTCTGGAAAGTTCCCAGATGCTGTGCCCCCACGTTGAGAGAACCCCAAAAAGAGATCGATATCACAAATGTGGGTCGTTGGAGGAACTGTTGCTTCGTGCAAAAAGGGCAACAGTTCAAGGGCGGGGAATTAAAAAGCAAAATTTTGGAAATTTTGCTTTTGAAAAAAATGATTTTTTTTTGGGTTTAAAAAGCGACGCAGCCAAAAAGCAAACAAAATTGAAAGATATGAGAATTGAGGGAAAAGTAGTGACCTCGTTTTAGAGCAACATGAAATATTGATTCAAATAAATAGTCTTTCCAAATCAAAAATAACAAAAATCTTATCGTGGCGTATCACGTGGAACGCAGAAAGATAAAACGGGATGCTCGTGACAGTCAAAACAGAACGGGCGGCTTTTCTGTTGATAAAAAATCTTGCTAGTCGTTACAAAATTTATCAAAATTTTGGTTAAACAAGGGAAGGGGGCTAGTGCGACGCTCAGATTTTCTTTAAATTTTGCACGAATCTCGGGCATGCATGTAGGCGGAATATCAATTTCTGAAAGTCTTAGCTCTTGCTTTGCAGACCCAGCCGAGATATTCAACGATCTTTGCGGGAGAGAGGGTATGCGAAGGGTGGATTGCGGTCAGAGAGAAAAATATTTTTTTTGGCTGTGTCTTTTTCAGCTCTGAGCAGAAAAAAATGATTTTTTTAAAGGATTAGTATCTACAGTAGAAAAAAGAAATGAAACTTTTCATGCTAAAATTCGCAAAAAAGTGTGAAATATTTTCGAGGTTTTTGACCTAAAAGTCTTGGTTGTTTCTGCAAAGAGGTAGCTAGGAGTCTCGCATATGTCCTAGAAAAAAATATTCTAAATTCGTACTAAGTTTCACCAAAATCTGAGCGTCGGACTTGGGCTCCTTCCCCTGTAAGTGAAACATCCGCTTTGGGTTTTACAACTGGTCTAACAAGTTCCCGAGGGTACCAAATGACTAAATTTTTAAGTGGGTGGGCAAACAACTGGATCGGAGAGCCAAAGTGTTAGAATGTGTTCACAGACATAATGACGGTAAAACGCTTTTGACAGCCATTTTGACACTTTGGTTACGCGATTCAATTTTTTGGCTGCCCATGAAAAATTTAGTTGTGATTTCAACCCATTGGCTGGTCAAAGAATTTTGCAACAACGGATACAGATATTGGGCAGTACCCGAGCTGCCCCAAATGAAGGGCAGCCACCAGAGATTGCCACGGCTCACGTCAATCCAAAATAGAAGAAAAAATTTCCCGCCCCTTTTTGGTGATTCGTCAAAACGAAATGTCACTATCCGATAAAACGCATTTTCTTATCTTTCTTCTTCCTTTTCGAGAAAAAGCAATTATTTCGGGCGAGAAAAAGTGCCGATAATTTCGCGACATTTCGTCCCTCTTTTAAAACCAATGAAAACGATACGAAGTTTCGAAACGGTTCAGGAAATGCGCTGGATTGACGTGCGGCTCCGGAGCCGGCTCTTGGCTCCGGCTTTGAGCGGCTCCGGCTACGAGCCGGGAGCCAGAGCCGGAGCCGGAAATTTTGGGTGCGGCTCCGGCTCCCGAGCCCAAAGTCGGAGCCAGACTTCTCAGCGATCAGAAAAGTAAAATTTTCGTTAAAAAATACTGCGTTGGTTGCAAAAACGTTGGGTATATGATCTCTGGCACTAACACCGTTTATTTTTGGAAAAATATTATATACTCCCCGTACAATGTTTTGACCCCCCTCCTAACTCCGTCCAAAGTGTACTAATTCGGACCAAATTTGGTATGTAGTATACTCACAGGCTAGTAACAAAAAATAACATAGCAGGACATACCTTATAGTTGAATTTCAAAAGCTAGGGGCAATTTTCAAAAATCACCTTAAAAAATCGAGGAAAAAGTTTTGACCCCCCTTAAAAAACGTTTGATATCGCCAGCGGATGCCACGCAAACCTATTGTAATCGACGTCCCATACCTGAATACAGGTTAATATATGGTTTTCCGTTGAATTCTTCGTTGTATTTGAGGATTCAACGCGTTAAACCGTTTTTGATGTAGAGCTGCCCAAAATTGTAAAAATCTTGCCCTAGCGCTTTCCTAGAGCTCTAAATTGGGTTTATATTATGTGCTTTAGACCTGTATTTACCTTCTCCTTTCAATAAAAGTGCATGGTGGCCTGGCGGTGTAGATTCGGCAGATACCCTCTTGTCATGCCCAGCCTTGGTGAGCCATTTGCTCTTTGACTCAAGGTCGAGATGTGGTCGTTAGGTCCTCAATGTAATCCTGAGACTCTTAGTTACTCTCAAACAAAGAATCAACTCCGGCTGACACGGTCTCATATGGTTTGCAGGCGCAACTTCGCCGATCTGCACCTTAACGAAAAACCCGCGTTTTTCAAATGGATTTTTAGCCACCAAAAACGGCTTTCATTTGATGGACCAGGTAATTTAAGGCGTTACAGCACCCACCATACTCATTTGAGACGTATGAAACGCCAAATGGGAGGTAGGGATGTAATAGTACTCGGAGTCATCTACAGTAACGGCAAACTTAAGATTAAGGTGAATGAAACCCATTAAAAAACGTGTCAAATCAAAACATTTTACATTACTGAGAGTAAATAGGAGTCTCAGGATTACATTGAGGACCTAACGACCACATCTCGACCTTGAGTCAGAGAGCAAATGGCTCACCAAGGCTGGGCATGACAAGAGGGTATCTGCCGAATCTACACCGCCAGGCCACCATGCACTTTTATTGAAAGGAGAAGGTAAATACAGGTCTAAAGCACATAATATAAACCCAATTTAGAGCTCTAGGAAAGCGCTAGGGCAAGATTTTTACAATTTTGGGCAGCTCTACATCAAAAACGGTTTAACCCGTTGAATCCTCAAATGCAACGAAGCATTCAACGGAAAACCATATATTAACCTGTATTCAGGTATGGGACGTCGATTACAATAGGTTTGCGTGGCATCCGCTGGCGATATCAAACGTTTTTTAAGGGGGGTCAAAACTTTTTCCTCGATTTTTTAAGGTGATTTTTGAAAATTGCCTCTAGATTTTGAAATTCAACTATAAGGTATGTCCTGCTATGTTATTTTTTGTTACTAGCCTGTGAGTACACTACATAGGAAATTTGGTCCGAATTAGTACACTTTGGACGGAGTTAGGAGGGGGGTCAAAACATTGTACGGGGAGTATATTTCAAAAAATTTTTTTTGCACGGAAGCCGGGATTCGGAGCCACAGACCTTTTTAAGTTTTTCATGGGAGCCGGAGCCGGAGCTGCAAATTGGACCTTGGCTCCGGCTCTGGGAGCTCAGAGCCGGAACCGGAGCCGAAATTTTGACCGTGGCAATCTCTGGTAGCCACAATTGCAAACAAAAACGCGGTGTGCGGTCAGAGATAAACCCTACAATTTTCGACTTTTTGCTAAACATTATCATTTCCCCACTTCCTTCTCAAAAAATTCTTTGACCCCTTGCAATTGCACAACTAAGAATTAGGACTGTCCCTAAGCCTCTCCAAATACCATATCATCAAATAAAACCCGCGGAAAAAAGGTTGATCACAAACTCGGGGGGACGCAAACCGCCGAACAAACAAAACGGATCGCCATGGAGAAGGTCGTGTTCATGTGGGGGAAAATGGAAAAAAAATTAATAAGATCAAAGTATGAAAAGGCCAATGAACAGTCATTTAATAAATTCCTCAGTTATCGCAATCCAAAATTCCCCATTTTAATAGACAAAATTAAGGTTTTATCAATGCAAAAAATATGGGAAAATGGGATAATGAAACATCAAAATTTATTTTGCTTTTCCGGATATTTTTGCAATTCCCAGAAGAAAAAAATGATGACAAATTCTTTTTTGTAATTTTAGAAATAACTAATCATTTGTTTTTTGAAAGAAAAAATGGGGATTTTTTGTTACTGCGGACGTATTTTTCGGCAGTAAAGTCTGAAAAGAAGGGCAAACGAAGAATTTTTATGTCTAAAAACATTTTTGTTCGGCCAAAAGGGACTGAAACACATTTTTTTCTCCATATAATAGAGAAGAATCTTTCATAAAAAATTAATTTTTTCGCGCGACTCTGGCAAAGGCATGACCAAAAAAGAGTTTCTTCTCTGACCGCTCTCCTCGTTTCGCAAACTCTCTTATGGCAAAGATCGCAGAGTTTCTCGGCCTAGACATGGCTCTAGGACTGTGCCGAGAATCAAATCTCGGCCTGCAGAACGTTAGCGGCCAGCCCGGCTCTTCCCGTTTCAGCCTGCTAGTATTATATCCCAAAGTGACAAAAGTTGGTTTTAGCTAGCCACTAGTCCGTTCGCAAAGTCGCTGGAGTGATTTCGGCTGCAGAAAAAGTCAGGGTTCGAGCGACAGACCGAAAAAACCTACTTTTCAAAACGCCCGAAAATTTGCACAGTGCAAAGTGAAATTTTGTTTTTGCACAGTGCATGTCGCGAAAATCACTCGAGACTTTACGGACGGACCGGTAAAACAAAAAAAAAGTTAAAAACATAGAAACCGCTGCTAATTCAACCCCTTCTGACGATCATTTTTTGTCATGTCATGCTTGGCCGCCCCTTCACTGCCCATGTCCACGACGGACAAACCAAGAACCCCTTAAAGTGCGAGGTTCTCCAAGCCAGAGCGCAAATAAGGACTGTTCCCGCTGTGGGACCCAACACGGCGGGTCTCTCTCGCTAAAAAATAAAAAAATTATTTTTTTATTGTTTGAAATGGTACAAAGAAGGTGAAAGATGAGTGAAGATCACCGAAAAAAGGTATGTTTTTTGTGTTTTCTGATTTAGGGCAGCTCGGTAAAAATTTTTACGACAGCTGATCCAAGATTTTTTGTGTTTTGGGCGAATGAAGGTAATTTTGGACATTCCTAAGCATGAAAATGGGTGTAGCTTTCCAAAGAACCATCCAGGAGTGATGTTGATCGAGTTTTTGCCAAGTTAGAGTCAATCCCTTCAGCAAACTACCTAGTATAATATAATTTTTTCCAGGATTTTGAATTGGAATGCAGCCAGACGGCTAAATTTCACCGCAAGGGCTCGCTGAAGCCAGAAGAAGAGACGACACCATTCAAATTCCATGTGGATGGCTTTTTCCGAAGCTGATGTCAACGTCGAAAAGGTGAGTTTTTCTTGATTTTCACATTTTAGGTCGGGAAATCCATTGCTTCTTGAGCAAGGCAATCGGTTTAGCTTCCCAAACATGCTATCTGGATGCTTCATCTTGCGCCACATCCGGCCCACTGTTGTTTCTAGTGTAATATAATTTTTGCAGGTGAAAACGCTCCCCGACCGCGAAGCTTCGACGATGCGAAACGTCTGGGACAGTATATGGGCGATAAAGAAGGTCTCATCGATGGCAAACACTGAGGAGAACCAAATCAATTTATTATTGTAAAAACACACCAAATGTTTTGATATTAAAAGACGATTTTTGGCTCGCTGCGTCAGCCGGGGACATTCAAAAAAATTTGTTTTGAGTTTTTTGGCCTAAAATGTTGGTATAGGTCACTAAAACACATTCCCAAAATTTTTTTGCCCAGTGATGCCCGGAAGGTAGAAATTTGCATACGGTTATAACCGTCCTCCTGAGCTCTGCTGTTGCCGTAGCAATAAAGACAACTTGACGAAACCGACGCCATATAGGTTTTGGTGGATGGAAAATTCAAAAATCGCAATTTCAAGTTAGTAGGATTACTGTAACATACAGTTTTTGACCTTCGGTCGATAAAAATCGACCGTATCTCCGTCAAATCAAAAATCCCACAAGATTTTATTGCAGATTTGGAATCAGCGAAAAATTCTGGTCTAGGAACATGTAATTTGCATCCTTGATTCCGTGGCAGATAAATCATGGCGCAGTGGGTTTTGACGAAAACTAGTAATCTGACGACCCTGGTTCGATCCCCGCTGGAGGCAAATATTGTAAAAAATATGGAAATGACATTTGATGGAATTATGAGGGTTATATAAGCTACGCTAAGCATTTTTAGACATCAATGGAACATGAATTTGAGGTTAGAACAGGGTTTATATTATTTTAGTCTCGGAATCCGTGAAAAATAAAACTGCTTCAAATGGGCTGAAATTGATATCACCTATTCTAGGCCTAATTCTAAGAAACTTTTACGTTAACTTTTTTTTCTTAGGGTACTGTAACGTGGATTACGGTAACAAAAAACTCGGCTTCCTTCGAGGCGATTGCTTCAAAATTTTGGCATAAAATTAAAAATTTTTTTTGGCTACATTATTCAAACGGCAAAAAGCGGGTATGCCTCATATTTAAAATGCAATTCTAACTTATTTCCAGTCTGAATTAATCTCATCATCCATTGGTGATATTATGTTAGATAACTCAGGTATTTCAAAACATGCGGCCATAAACGAACTATCAGTGCGTAAACCCACTCGTTCTTAACCGTTCCTACAATCTTCGTGACATTCCGAAGGCTCTGCGCCTTGTGGTATGAAAAAACAAAATTGGGTTTTATGTTACCGTAATCCACGTTACAGTACCCAAAGAAAAAAAAGTTAACGTAAAAGTTTCTTAGAATTAGGCCTAGAATAGGTGATATCAATTTCAGCCCGTTTGAAGCAGTTTTATTTTTCACGGATTCCGAGACTAAAATAATATAAACCCTGTTCTAACCTCAAATTCATGTTCCATTGATGTCTAAAAATGCTTAGCGTAGCTTATATAACCCTCATAATTCCATTAAATGTCATTTCCATATTTTTTACAATATTTGCCTCCAGCGGGGATCGAACCAGGGTCGTCAGATTACTAGTTTTCGTCAAAACCCACTGCGCCATGATTTATCTGCCACGGAATCAAGGATGCAAATTACATGTTTCTAGACCAGAATTTTACGCTGATTCCAAATCTGCAATAAAATCTTGTGGGATTTTTGATTTGACGGAGATACGGTCGATTTTTATCGACCGAAGGTCAAAAACTGTATGTTACAGTAATCCTACTAACTTGAAATTGCGATTTTTGAATTTGCCATCCACCAAAACCTATATGGTGTCGGTTTCGTCAAGTTGTCTTTATTGCGACGGCAACAGCAGAGCTCAGAAGGACGGTTATAACCGTATGCAAATTTCTACCTTCCGGGCATCACTGGGCAAAAAAATTTTGGGAATGTGTTTTAGTGACCTATACCAACATTTTAGGCCAAAGAACTCAAAAAAAATTTTTTTGAATGTCCGGCCCCTTGTATTGACTGACGCAGCGAGCCAAAAATCGTCTTTTAATCATAAAATATTATACCGTTGATCTGGATATTGCTGAACCTGTCTTTACTGAGCTCTTTAGATGAGGCTGGCGGGCATGGGAGGCGAATGGGCCGGTTTTCCTGTAAAAATTACATTACACTAGAAACAACAGTGGGCCGGATGTGGCGCAAGATGAAGCATCCAGATAGCATGTTTGGGAAGCTAAACCGATTGCCTTGCTCAAGAAGCAATGGATTTCCCGACCTAAAATGTGAAAATCAAGAAAAACTCACCTTTTCGACGTTGACATCAGCTTCGGAAAAAGCCATCCACATGGAATTTGAATGGTGTCGTCTCTTCTTCTGGCTTCAGCGAGTCCTTGCGGTGAAATTTAGCCGTCTGGCTGCATTCCAATTCAAAGTCCTGGAAAAAATTATATTATACTAGGTAGTTTGCTGAAGGGATTGACTCTAACTTGGCAAAAACTCGATCAACATCACTCCTGGATGGTTCTTTGGAAAGCTACACCCATTTTCATGCTTAGGAATGTCCAAAATTACCTTCATTCGCCCAAAACACAAAAAATCTTGGATCAGCTGTCGTAAAAATTTTTACCCAGCTGCCCTAAATCAGAAAACACAAAAAACATACCTTTTTTCAGTGATCTTCACTCATCTTTCACCTTCTTTGTACCATTTCAAACAATAAAAAAATAATTTTTTTATTTTTTAGCGAGAGAGACCCGCCGTGTTGGGTCCCACAGCGGGAACAGTCCTTATTTGCGCTCTGGCTTGGAGAACCTCGCACTTTAAGAATCAACTTTACACCGAAATAAACCTCTGTGAAAAAAATCTTTCTACGGCAAAAAAAAATTTTGATTCCTTTGCGATTCGTTGTACAGAAATTTCACTGTATTTACAACAACTCTTATTTCCCCAACGCGCCTTAAAAAAACCTCGTCCCAATAAACCAGTTTGACCAATGATCGGACCAAAACCGACCACTAAACCCCCGTGCTGACCCCACGGCCGATACCACAACACAGCGCTTGGGGTTGATAAAAATTCGGTCGGCGAACGGGGGTTTCCGACCCCATGACTCTCTATTCATCAGATAGCCATGTGATGGTGAAGGGGAGAGAGAGGGCGATATTTGGAAACGAGTTTAGATCGGATCGAAAATATACGTCACAAACCATAAAAATAGAATGAAATGTATGTAGTTTAGCCTTGATTGCATCATAGAAGAAGGGGAAAAATGAGTGAAACAGTACTAACCAAGATTTATGAAAATTTTGGAGTGCTAGGAAAAGAAAAAAAAACTGTGGAATATGCAAATTTTACAAGAATATATGTTCATTGAAGTCTGTGTAATGTTTTTAAAACTTGGAACAAACTTATTGTTAGCCTAATTTTTCCTAACAGTATGACATACATACGGTGACGGACCCGATCCAGTGGCAAAAAACGTATTGTTTTGCATCCGGGAAGCATCAAAAATGTGGCAAAATGCCTCCCTCTCTAAGTGAAAAAACTTCATTTTGAAGGGCGCGCCCTTTCCCTCACAAAAAGAGGGGAGTATCAAAAACGTGGCAAAATGCCTCCCTTTCCAATTAAAACAACTCCATTTTGGAGGGCTTTTGAAATCGGAGTTTTTTCACTTGGAGAGGGAGGTATTTTTCCGCTTTTTTGATACTTCCCGGATGCAAAATGGTGCCTTTTTTGCCACTGGTCCCCCACTGTATGTAAGCCATTTATCAATGCAAGAAAAATATTTTTTTTTCCTTTGAAATAGCGGAGAAATGGGCAAAACTGCGTTTCTGTCTGACCGCTCTCCGCATTTTGCGCACTCTCTCGGCGGAAAAGATTGTTCAATATCTCCGCTACCCATGCGCAAAAAGAAATGAAATTACCAGCAATCGATACCAAACCCAGGCCCAACCTACGCGCAAAA